TCTAAAAAATTGTAACTAGAGTAGGCTTGAGCAAGAAGGAAAATAACACAGCTAGCATGGAGCTTCTTCAATTAATCACATGCTCAGCTCGCCTGGTCTTCAACGGTGGCAGTAGCGACGTCGATTGTGGTGACCAGTAGTTACCGAGAGTGGAAACCGGGCTAGACGAGGCGGTCTTGTTTCCGGATCCCACTTCTTACAGCAGATTCAAAGCCATGGCCATCAGGTTCAGAGATTTCAAACTTGCACCAGAAGTCACGAGGGAGTGGTATTCCAGGGCCATTTTGCAGCATCTGCTTTAGTCACCTAGTATCATCATGGGTTTCTGAATAAATTCCATCAGGGTTTTTATAAAGCCCATCAACTTCGATCTAATTTGTTCTAGAAATAGGGTTGGGCGAAACCTGGTGGTTTTCAGGATCAGCCTCAAAACTAGAATAACAGAGATCCATTTGGTGTTGTTAAAAATCCTAGAGTTCCTATATTTTCACAAACACCAAACGGCGGCAGAATTGACAATATTCAAAGCAGAGTTCTTATTATTGGAAATCCAGAATCTAGCTAGAGATTCATAATTACATCCTAAAGAAACTTTAAAGTGGTCTCTAATGAAGGACCAACGATTTCTAGCTACAACACAATCAAACAGTAATGAAAACACATATTCATCTTTAGTGCAAAAAACATAGTCTAGAGGTTTTGATTATGTGCCTTTTCCTAAAATTGTCCCTATTCATTAGATTATTATGAGAAAGCAACCAAAGAAAGACATGAATGCTAGGTCAAACTTCAAGATTCCAAATAGCAGAAACAAAATCTGGTTGTACCCCTCTGAAGTTGATCACATGGTAAAGGGAGCTGGTAGAATATTGTCCTTTGTTCTCCGCCTGCCAAACCAATGAATTTGTATCTTTAGTGAATATAACATTGCTAGCTATCTCCACTAGTTGTTGTTCCATGAGTTTATCATGAAAGATCCTTCTAAAGGAAAGCTTTAGTTGATGACCATCCCAAACCTCACTAATACATTTAGGCTGCTCATTACAAATAGAATATACATGCCAAATTGCATATCCAGGGGAGAGGTGCCAAAGTAGGTATCTTCCCACAACCCAATCTTATCTCCCTTGCCAACCTTTCATCTATATCCAAATTTAAGAGCTTGAATTATGGATATGACTCCCTTTCCAGAACCTAGAGACATTAAGATTAGAGCTTGGGACAAACAAGTTAGGTTTGTCGGAGTTGTATTTATGATCTATTATTTGCTTCTAGAGTTCCCCATCACCTTCAGAGTGTCTTTTGGTCCAAGAGATTAACCTCCTGCAGATTAGGACCCTAGGCCCCCAAACACTTTCTTCATACAAACTAGTTTCCAGTTAGCTAGGTGGAGCTTCATATGACCCTCAAAATCATTCCACTAGCAATGTGCCATCTGGGAACTGATCATATCAATAGCCCATTTACGGAATTTAGAGAAGGACAATAGGTAGATAGAAATGCTGGCAAGGAAGCCTGAATAAGCATGAGCCTGCCTTTATGTGAGAGGAGCTTCCCTCTCCAACCAGCAATTCTTTTCAAAAAATTGTCTATAGAGGTTGAATATCCTCGTTTATAAGCTTGTCATAGTGAAGAGGAATCCCAAGGTATCTAATGGGAAAACTACTGGCACTGCATTCTAGTAGGTTTAGGAACATCTTGATATAATCATCTTGCATATTGATAGGAATAAGCTTACTCTTGTTGTCGTTGATTCTTATGCCAGAAACTTGTTCAAAGTAGTTCAAGACTATCTTAGGTTTTGGGCATGATTTGAATCATTATCTGGGAATAATATAGCATCATCAGCATATTTAAGGCATATAATCCCTGCGTCCCTCCTTTAATTTAAACTGCATATGAGAATAATAATTTGAATCATTATTTGGACATCTTACATTATGGGATGGAGGGAGTAACATTTAAATTAAAGCCTTGTATGTCTTCTAGATTAAAGAGTTCTTTGTAGTAGTCAGTAGCTACCCTCAACATACCTTTAACCTCATTCACTGGAACAACATGCCCATCCGAAGATTGAATAGAGGTTTTCCTTCTCCTTTGGTTATCTACTACATGGAAATATGCAGTATTCCTATCTCCCTCCTTAATATCCTTACCCCTAGGCCCTTATTTGGCTTTGGTTTCTTCTTGGAGCCACCCATTTTGCAACTATGAGTGAATGAATTTAAGTAGAAAATTCAGCTTCAGATAAGTCTGAGGATCCAGCTTTAATATCTAACTTATCATACTCATGTAATAGGACCTTTTTAGATCTCCCGAGGTTGGCCTCTTCATTAGAGCTCCACCCTTTGGTGCTTCTAAGATTTCTAATTTTCTCTTGCCATATGTCAATAGGTGTTTTCAGAAGAAGTTGGTTCATTCTAAATTTTGGTCACTAAGCCTTTAAAATCTTCTCTCAGTAGCCACCACTTTTCAAGTCTGTAGCTACTGGATTTAGGGGAGAGATCAAGCCAGAGTTCTGGATCAAAGGGGTATGATCACTACCGCATCTAGGTAAGGCTCTATAAGCAGCCAAAGAAAAATCTTACCTAATTATGTGTCATAGAAGAGCCTATCTATGGTTGACATAATTAAGTCAGCCTGATTATTGGTCCAAGCAGATCTCCTACTGAAAAGTTTAATCTCTAATAACCACCAAATTTCAATCAAGTCATTGAATTGTCACCCTATTTGTGGTTAATGACATCATTACTCTTATTTGTAGAACACCTAACGAGGTTATAATCTCCACCTATCAAAGTAAGAGTGGAAACCTCTATGAACATGCTATGCAACACAGATATGAACGCTTCTTTCCTTCCTCGTAAGGTGAGCCATAAACTGTACTCCCTCCGTTTTTATTTAGTCCGCATATTAGCTTTGGTCAAAGTCAAGCTTTGTGAACTTTGACTAAGTTCATAAACAAAAATATTAACATATACAATAAAAAATCAATACCACTAGATTCATTATTGAATGTACTTTCACATCATATAGATTTGTTATGGTAAATGTTTATATATTTTTCTATAAACTTGGTCAAACTTTGCAAAGTTTGACTTTGGTCAAACCTAATATGCAGACTAAATAAAAACGGAGGGAGTACTTCTAAAATCTTTATTATTACTTTGAAGGTTAACACTGCAACATATTAAAAAGAATCTAAGATAGACCAAGAAATAATTTGAAATACATCTAAGTTCACCCGCATTAGGATGCCATCAACAGAGCCTGTGGATGTTAAATGGTTCCAAGCAAAGTCCCTGGTACCAATTAAGGATTTCAGGTAGGACCTAGTGAAGCTGTCCTTTTCAATTTTCTGAAACCTAGCACAGTAGCATGTGTTTTATTGGTGATGTCTATAATTAAAAGTTTCCTACCAAGGGCAGCTATGCCCCTAAACATTCCAAAAAAAAAGAGCATTCAGTAGTATTTCGTTTATTAGAAGATGAAAAATGCCCCCAGAAAAGTAGTCATCTAAAAGTCCATTTTTCTTTTAGGTTTTAAGGAACCTTCGATCCGTTTTTTATCCTGATGATCTTCATTTAGCAGAGATTTATTCTTTGGTTCTTCCATCAGCGCCATCAATCAAATAAGGCGATCCCACAACAAAGAATCGACAACCAAGAAAATCAAGTACAATTTCGCAAATTTCCATTCGCCTTCGATGCAGCAAAGCCGGATCAAAAACATCTTTGCCAAATGAAGAATTCCAGATCATCATATATCAGAGTTAGAGTTTCGATCGATCCCAGCCGTCGATATTCGCTTGATCATGGATTGAACGGCGAGGAGGAACCATCATGACGCCAGGCAAGCATCCCGTTGCCATCACGGCGCCACCGCAGCGCGGCAGGCACGACGCGGCCGCTTCAAGTCTTCCCTGTCAAGCAAGAAGCAGCACAGCTAGCGCAGATCCCACCCCGCAAATGGCAGCTCGCCTCCTCCTCTAGCCCACTCCTCTAGCCCACTCCCCTCCACCCACCCACCTACCCTCCTCCGCACGCAACCATGCCGGGGCTCGCCGCAGCGGACGCGTCGCCGCCGGCCGCGGCGCCGGCGCCGCGGCGGCTCTCCTCGCCGCTGCCGAGGCGGGCGCCGCCGTCGCCGTCCCCCTCCTCCGCGTCCCGCGCCGTCGGGAAGCCGGCGCGGAAGTCGCTCGGGCAGGGCCAGCACCCGGAGGCGACGGACGAGGCGGCGCTGGACAACCCGGATCTGGGCCCCTTCCTGCTCAAGCAGGCGCGGGACGCCATGGTGTCCGGCGAGGGCGGGGGCGCGGCGCGCGCGCTCGAGTTCGCCGAGCGTGCGGCCCGCGCGCTCGAGCGCCGCGGCGAGGGCGCCGAGCTCGAGCTCGCCATGAGCCTCCACGTCGCCGCCGCGATCCACTGCGGGCTCGGCCGGCACGCCGACGCCGTGCCCGTGCTCGAGCGCGCCGTCGCCGTCGTCACCCCGCCGCCCGCGCCGGCCCCCGTGGCCGAGGGTGAGGAGGTGCCGCAGCCGGAGGAGGAGGTGGATGAGCGCAAGGGGGAGGAGTGGGCGCTCGCCGCCTTCTCCGGCTGGATGCAGCTCGGCGACACCCACGCCATGCTCGGCCGCATGGACGAGTCCATCGCCTGCTACGGCAAGGGCTTCGAGATCCAGATGGCCGCGCTCGGCGACCGCGACCCCCGCGTCGCCGAGACCTGCAGGTCAGTCGCCTTTTCTCGATCTAGATCTCCCTCTCCGTTGCTTCCACCTCCTCCAATTTTACTCGTCAAAAGAAAAATCTCACCTTTTTTCACTGCCTTTAGTTTTAGTTTTATGTTGCCGCGGATCTCTGCAAAAATTGGCATTAAGATCACAGCAAACACCTACGAAATTCACAGACAAAGACCAAAAATAACAAATGCGTTGCTCTTGTACGATGACAGGTATCTGGCGGAAGCGCATGTGCAAGCTCTGCAGTTCGATGAGGCAGAGAAACTGTGCCGCAAAGCCCTCGAGATCCACCGGGAGCACAGTGCACCTGCATCCCTCGAGGAGGCCTCCGATCGCCGGCTGATGGCCCTTATCCTGGACGCCAAGGGTGACTATGACGGCGCCCTGGAGCACCTTGTACTGGCTTCCATGACCATGGTTGCCAATGGACGCGACGTCGAGGTTGCGACGATTGATGTCGCGATAGGCAACACTTACCTGGCCCTTGCTCGTTTCGACGAGTCTGTCTTCTCATACCAGAAGGCTTTGACTGTACTCAAGTCTGCCCGTGGCGACGACCACCCTTCAGTGGCATCTGTCTTCGTCCGCCTTGCTGATCTCTATCACCGCACAGGGAAGCTCCGTGAGTCCAAATCCTACTGTGAGAATGCTCTCCGTGTCTATGCAAAGCCCGCGCCTGGTGCTGCCCCTGATGAGGTTGCTGGAGGCCTAATGGAGATTGCTGCCATCTATGAGGCGCTTGGAGACCTTGATGAGGCCCTAAAGCTTCTTCAAAGGGCACTGAAGTTGCTCGAGGACTCACCAGGGCAGTGGAGCACTGTTGCTGGGATCGAAGCACAAATGGGTGTGTTGTACTACATGATAGGGAGGTATGCCGATTCAAGGAACTCGTTCGAGAGCGCGGTTTCCAAATTGAGGGCCAGTGGGGAAAGGAAGTCGGCATTTTTCGGTGTTCTGCTGAACCAGATGGGGCTAGCTTGCGTACAGCTGTTCAAGATTGATGAGGCTGCACAGCTGTTTGAAGAAGCACGGGCAGTTCTAGAGCAGGAGTGTGGTGCCTCTCATCCTGATACTCTTGGCGTATACAGCAACCTGGCTGCGATCTATGATGCCATGGGAAGGTATGTCTTGAAAACACAAACTAGGTTCTTCTGCAACCCCCAGTCATGTTATTCAGAACCTGATCATATCTTGTAGTATAATGCATGTATGATCTCTAAATTGTTACCATATGCCTGTAAGGGTATCTTCTCCTCATTGTTTACATCTGTAGATTAACGCGCATGCCCTATGGTTTTATTGTGCTATCTGAAGGCATGAGCAGTAGGTTGTACTTTGAAGTTCTAATGGTTTCTAAAATCTTTAATATGGTGGGTGGCTCGATTTAATTATTCTATGCAAGGTTGCTTAATTTAATTGCAAACAACCGATATATTGCTTGACGAATCATGCGTTGATCTTCACTTCCATGTGAAGGTATCATTCTGTCTTAGTGGTCCATCATCTAGACACCCACATGTTGCTGCAAGCTAATGAGTTACACAAATTGGTCTAAATTAATGGCAAGTGACCCATGAGGCCATGAGTTCCAAACTAACATGCACTGGACCTGTTACTGGTGCTGTTGAATTTAGGCCTAAGCAAATGGCATCTACATTTATGATTTTGTCTTTCCTTCAGTCCTATATGACCCAGCTTTGTCACTTTAACACATAATTGCATTTCCCCTGTGATCTTGGCATCAGCACAACTGCGTCTGTTGAATTGACAGTGTGCATAATGCATTTAGGATCTCTATGGTTACACATATGCTTGTAGCAGCATCTAGCACTCATTGTTTACACCTGTAGGAGTAATGAAGCTGATTTTGTTCTGCTCTCTGAAGAGATGAACATGTGGGGTTCCACTTGTAAGTTATGATGCTTTGTTAAATGTTGAACGGACCGGTTGGTGGGGGTGGGCTACCTAATTTAAATTGCACACAGCCAAGAGATTGCTTGCTGAATTATCGGTTGGTCATTCCTGCCATCTGAGCGCATCTTTTATTTTAGTGGTCCATCATCTAGTTGCCCACATGTCGCTCCATGCTAATGAGTTATGTATACAAAATGATTCTAGTTCATGTTCCCTGTCCTTCCTGTTAGATGATCCATTTCTGTCACCTGATATATTTTCCTATAACAAGTAGCATGCTCTGGGTTCTGCTATCACATTATAACAAAACTTACCAAGTGCCACAGTTCTACCAGTAACAAAACTTACCAAGTGCCACTAAGATGACCACAGAAGGAACAACTGATCATAAACAACTGCCCAACCAACACCTAAATGCCTACCAACCACTGCCAGGCAAAATATCAGGCAGAGCCTATCAAGAATGTTTCTCCATGACTTGACACTTGATTGTGATGATCCATCAGGGTGGAGGACGCGATTGAGATCCTGGAGCATGTGCTGAAGGTGCGGGAGGAGAAGCTGGGCACGGCGAACCCGGACGTGGAGGATGAGAAGAAGCGGCTGGCGGAGCTGCTGAAGGAGGCGGGGCGGTCCCGGAACCGGAAGCAGAAGTCGCTGGAGAACCTGTTCGGGTCCGGCGGTGCTGCGCGGGGCGCCAAGAAGGACGGCTCCGGGGGCAGGCGGTGGACCAACTTCGGGTTCAGGAGCTGAGCTGAGAAGAAAACAGTGGTGTGGGCCTTTGTAACATAAGAGGAGAGAGAAAGAGAGAAAAGGAAGGGAGGAGAGAGAAGCATGTGTAAAGAAAGAAAGGTGTTGCTGGTAGAGTAGGAAGGAAGGAAGATGAGATGATTGTGATTGCAGTTTGTTTTGAGTTTCTTCTACATGTTCTGCATCTACTCTTGATTGGTGTTGTGTACCCACTTGTTAAGTGTTATGATGGGAATTCTTTTGTTTTACAGTTAGTTAACTGGGCTCTCCTGCTGCTCTTGTATCTGGATAATTTAAGCAATATATATACACTGTTGGTTGGTTGTTCTGGTGGTTCCTTGATTTGCTTTCTACTCACTCCATACTAGAGGCTAACGCGTGCTGTTTTTCACTAGTGGGTTCAACTTCTTTGGTTGTTTGGTTTTAGTTTTATCTGCGTCGGCTTGGGTTTTAATTATGTTTCGACGGTGTTTTTTTGTTTTCATTTGTATGTCATTTTGAAATGCTGTTGAAGACGGTATTTGTTTTAAGAGGAGAGTGGAGTTGTTCAGTGAGTGGGTAGTGTCCTTGCACGTTTCAGCCACTGTGTCAGCAATGTTAGTTGTAGTGTCCTTGCATGTTTCGGCCACGGTGTCGGCAATGTTAGTTGTGTGAGCCCGCGGGGACTCCTATTTCACGCTGAAATTGTTGCTGTAATGCTCATATGCGGCAGCTTAGGAAGCAAAAGCTCACTCGGTTCCACTCTCTCGCTTAGTTTTCTTCCGCTCTCTTAGATTGTTTTCCGCTCACTCCAGTGTTAGCTTAGAAAGATCAAATATTATTTATTTCAATGAAAAAGTTTGTTGAATCAAAAGTTGTTTACGGATTTTTTTTTTAAAAATGTTGCAAATTAAAAAAACATAAATGTTTAAAAATGCTCACGATTTTAGAAAACATTTGTGGGTCTGCAACATTGTGTGCAAATTTGAAAAAAAGATAGCAAATGTAAAAATGGTCATGGACTTGAAAAATACTCGTGAACTTTCAATATGTTTGTGGATTTTAAAAATACTCATGAATTTCAAAAAGCCATCCTTATTCTTAAATGTAAAAGAGAAAAAAGAAAAAAATGTTTAAAAATGTTCCATGGGGCTGGCACGGGATGGCCTATGCAAACGGCGGCGTCACTCTTGCGTGGGAGCAGCGACAGACGTTCAGGACAGCGGCGGTGGCACAACAACGACCTGGACTTCGCTTAGTGGCGCGGCTGCTGCACGGAATCAGGATCTGGCGGTGCATGCTAGCCGGGATCCAGCCGGGACCTCCCTGGTCTGGCGCCTGAACAATGGCGGGCGGCACGGGGTGGCCTCTGCGGTGAGCTCTCGTGGCTGCAGGTGTTGGTTGATTTGGTTCCCCTTGTCTATGGGCGGGGTGGTCGTTGGTGGCCTCGCGTCGAGCTACGTCAGCTGCCACGGTGAGGCGACATTGGGGTGTGTCCGATGGGAAGGTTGGCAGGAAGGATGGAAGGCTCCGACGTGGTCGGGCCACCCATTGCTAGTGTAGGGGTGCGCTGATCATGGATGCGTTCGCTCCTCCTACTCCTCCTTCCCATGGTCGTGTGCTTGCTGACGAAGGTGTGGTGATGTTCGAGGCAGGGTGGTTGTTGCCAGCTCCATCGATCGGGATCTACTAGTCAGGCCAAAGCCAAGGCTTTTGATTGGTCGCGGGGTTGCCTAGATGCAGGGCGGTCGCCCTGGCAGCAGGAGACGAGGTGTTTGTGGGCGAAGAGTGTGTCTTGGGTGTGGTCGGGTAGCCATGGCCACGCGTGTGGCATGTTTGGTGGTGTTCGACATAGCATGGCAATGGTGTTGAGGGGCTCTGACGTCTGGCAGAACCCTGGTTCGGCGGAGGTTGTCCAGGCTGACGAGGGCGGCAGTCGCGTGCACCGTTTCCTCCCTTCATGTTGCTCCAGGTGAAAACTTGATCTTAGGGAAAACGTGTATACAAAAAAAGTTCAACATGTATTTAAATAAATTTAACATTTATTGGAAAAATAAAAAGCAATAAAAAAATTATAAAAAGTAAAAACTTGAAAGAAAACAAATAGAGAAAACACAGATTTAAAAATAAATAAAGAAAACACAGAAAAAACAAAAAGAAAGCCACAGGTGGGTGTTGCCGGGCCGTCGCGCCATCACACCCTCTAATCCCAGGCTGACAACCTGGGCCCGTTAGAAACCCACACAGCTCATATACCCTATTACACGTGGGACACATAGAGACCAACACAACCCAGGACGCACTAGGAGGTTCCAAATCGAGGAGATTTGTATCTAAATGAAAAATGTTCAATCTGTGGTAAAAAAATATCTTGTCGTGTATTAAAAAATATCCAATGTACATTTTACAAATGTTTAACACATATTTGAAAAAAACTGTATTTCAAAAATATTTAACATGTATCTAAAAAATGTTGAACTATATACGAGAAAAGTACAACATATTTTAAATAAAGTCAATATGTATTTGAAAAATAAAACAACAACAAATTACTAATAGAAAAAATGAAACGAAACAATAGAAAAAACACACATAAACCAAAAACCAAAGAAAATCATTGGAAAAAATTGAAAAAAGGAAAAATGTGTGAAAAGTTCTACAGAACGGTTCCATAACTGCTCTATCGGACCGCCTCACTAAGGCGAGAGCTGAACCGAGCGTAGAGGCAGGAGGGTGACATCTCGCAATAAGCAAGATATCTCGCTATTGCTAGGCCGAAGCACCACCACACCCTAATCATAGGTTGACAACCTTGCACATCCCTCCTCGTAGAAGGAGAGCGCTCCGTTTTGAGCAGACATAGAAGGAACTTAGAAGATACTCTATCATTAGTTTTTTTTTTGATGAAAAAATTCACCTCCTTTATTCACTCGTTAGCAATGTTGCATCATTTACAAGCATGGAACCCACCGCATCCAGTGTTGAATCCATCCAGACAGAAGGAGGAGAAACTCTAGCTATCCTAGCCAGTTCATGAGCTACTTGATTACTTTCTCTATTACAATGATCATAGATCACATGATTAAGGTCAAGAGACATAAAATAATAGTCATCAAATATTGGACTGGCCACCAATGAAGAATTACTGTCTCTCAAAGCTTCAATAACTTCCATGCTATCCGAGTTGATCTCAATCTTGCTACAACCATAGTTCGTGCGATATTCAAGCCGAATCTCACTGCCAATGCTTATGTTGTAAACAAGTCATAGAAAATCTCCACTTTTTCATTTGCTGCGACAATGAACTTTCCATTGTGGTCAAAGATAACAGCGCCAGGCCCCTTCAATTGAATCACAGTCAAAACCCGCATCCACATTTAGTTTCATATAATCGGACTTCGGTTTTCCCAAGCAAGGATACACATTTTAGTTTTCGGCATACAAGCTAGGCTATAGTTCACAGAAAGCCCACGTATTGCAATGTTGATTTGTGAAGGCTTTGGTTCTCTTCTCCATGGTAAACTTTCCCATGCTCAAAACAAAGATACCAAGCCGTTGTAGGCACCATTTCTCTCAACTTGGATAGCCCTAGGATATGAATCTCAATGTCCTCCATACCTAGCAGTAGCAGGTACTCCAGGACTGCTTCTTCTTCTAGGTCAATCAAGCAAGCTCTTTTAATAACATCATGTAGACCGAGTTGCCTCCAAACTTCCACCGTCCTTGCACATTCAAAGATGAAGTGTCTGATATTGTCAGGTCCACAGTTACATGTAGGGCAGTGATCGTTCACCTTCACATGATTGGCCGTAAGAATGGCTCTGCCAGGAATAACACTATGTAGTGATCTCCAATGATACATGCCAAGATATGACAAGCATGTCTTGAGACGTGGAGGAATGTTTCTGTAGCTGAGGTCTAAGATTTTCCTCATCCCTTCCAACATGAGATTTTTTTCCCCGAACCTAGATAATTCTGTACATGTTCCCACTCCTCTTGGTCGAAACCTTCAGTTGCTAGAATGCATGATATACTAATGATTGCAAGAGGCAAACCATCACATTTTTTGAGAATTTCAGTAGAAACATATCGAAGCTGGTGAGGGCAAGCTTCTTTAGAGTTGAATATCCTACCAAAAAACAGTCTTCTTGAGTCTTCATTGTTAAGTGGCTTCATTTCGAAAATATTATCACTGCAATGAGAGCAACAAGCCTTAGCCACATTTTGTATTCTTGTAGTTATTAGTACTCTGCTGCCAAGACCATTATCTGGAAAAGCACTTTTAAGAAAATCCCATGATGGTGTATCCCATAGATCATCAATTATAATCAGGTACCTACCAAAGAATACAAACAAGTGTTAAGTCAAGTAGAATAAATTTACCAAGAGAAATTCATTGTGTTCAATTAAATCTTAGTCTTGATTGAGGAATAAAACATCCACACTGAATAGTTGTTAACTTTTAATAAACTAGAAGATTCCCCGCGCGTTGCTGCGGCACTTCATGCATTTTATAAAAAGCTTTGAACAAACACTTCCCAATAGAAAAAAGACATGAAAAAAATAAAAGTGACATTGACTGCAAGTACAGTTTGTTACATCCTCGCAAAGAATTAGTACTCATATTAGGTTTCTCCCTCGAGAAAAACAAATTAAGATTTGTATAATAACAATCCAAACAAATTAGTACGTATACTAATATTTGATACTTAGCTGGTCTAAAGTGGTTTTGGAAAAGAACAACGCCTTTAGCTTCATCCCAAATTTGCCCCAAGCATATGTAAAATTTTACTGAGCAATGTATTGTATAAGAAATAGAAGTTTTTGAACTGCTCAACTAATGCAAGAGCAATAGTAATAGTTTAGTTAAATTTGTACCTACTCAGATGGAAGATGCACGTGAAATTAGTCCTCCAATGGACTTGTATGTAGACATGCAGTATCATAAATATAACTATGCTTACAAAACATGAGACAAAGATGAAATAGATTAAACGTATTTCTGGAACTAAAATATATGTATA